CCCCGACTGCCAGCAGCAGTCATATGATCAAGTAGGCGTTGATGCAGGACACTGTCAAATGCTTGACGGAAGTCGATCTACACGAAATCGACCTCAAGACTCTCTTCTAGAGCCCTGGTACAGACCTCCAGACAAGTTAGCAGATTTGAGAGCTAGAAATGTCCTCTTCGGAAGCCATGCTAAAAATCCTGTAAGATGTTATTTTTTCACAAAACTGATACATAGTACTTTTTACTAGAACGTCCATCGTTTTGCATGAGAGGCTAGTCAAGCTAATGGGCCTGAAGCTGCTTGCTGCCATTCTGCTACCTCCCTTATGTAAGGGAGCGAAGTTGACTGTCTTCCACTACGAGAGAAGCCTCCCTGTTCTGACTGAAAGCTCAAAGAGAGTTGAAAGAGTCTGGTACCGCAGTGTTAACTTATCTCCGGCAGGACTCAACAGTGTCAGCGACTCCAGATACAGCTACTCCGGGTTCTGTACACAACGAACGAATCTCTCTGACGTCCTTCCTCTTACCGTTCTGGTCGAGACTCGGCCTGATAGTTGTGACGCTCAAGGTACACCCAACACCGACCCAACACCGCTCTACAGTGCCACAGCTTTTACAGAACGCAGTCGATACCGCCTTTTTCGTTTTTATTTACATGACCGCAGAAACATTTCTCACGACTTGCAGTGGTCTGAAAAGCGGTAAATTCTAAACTAGACTGCCTGTCCGACTAAGACACAGGCTTGATCTTTTTACTCATATATACACCCAGGTATTCCACACTTCGGGATTGGGTATGACTGGCTGACGACGGCTAATGAGCCAGAAACGCCCATTCCAGTCTCCTTTGTCTTCATCGGTGACGTCATTCTGCGTGTAGTACGCGCCGCTGTGCGGCTATTGGTTGGGTTTGAGAGAAAGCCCTTAAGTACAACGGGACGAGTAAATTCCATAAAAACGATCGGCGAGCGTCCCTCTGCCACCATTTACTAAAATTTGATTATCTCGTTCTTTTGAATGTCCTTAGAGCTAAACATTTCATGAATAACCTGCTGTTATCGGGACATACCTTATCGCTATCAACAGATATCTTGGTAAGATTTCGGTATGTCAGTATAATTATCCAAAGTCATGTTATTGTTTTTGGACTTTGCTAAGTTGCAGATCGTATTTGATTCTTTATCACAATTCTCATTCAACCTCCGACTAATGCGAGTCGAGCCGACAGAAGTCCGTTATTTCCATCTCTCTCCCTCGATTATGAAAGATCATGGTATGAGAAAAAGGACTTCTCTATTAATGGCTTTCCAAATTTAGTTTACTTAATAATGGATCCTGGATATTCGGATAGCCGTTTTCAAAAGACAGAACTCACGAACTCGGCACTACTTGCTGCATTCTAGTATGTGAGGTCAGCTTACGTGAGTCCTGTGAAAATACGATGACTCATATGTTGTACCGTAACAGAGATACGCTTTTCATCATAACCTACGCTGCGCTGCGGATTAGGGGTCCAAAAGGAAGGTCTCCTGAGCTCACTAAACGCGTTTACCGGGTTGCGCCGCGTCTGCGAGATCCCATAACTGCTGTATCACATGGGCGGTGTGTCTGCACTCGCATACGCAGGTCCACACCGTGTTTGGTACTGCGTCCAATGCCAGTAAAAACCGGTTAACAGGCCCCGAAGAACGACTGGTACCTGGGGAAGGCAGAAAAGAGTGAAGTCGACGCTGACGAATACATCCCCACGGTAACTTTGCTCACCGTACTCAGTAATCATTGAATGACAGAAGTCAACCGAGTTCCATTAAAGTATTCGTTGCCTGTTCACGGGTTCTTGCGATCAGTGTTCACCCTGCCGCAATTTTTCAGTTGTTGGACCGCTCGCTAATCAGATACTTCAAGTAGCCACGGGGATAGTTCATCAGAATGTTGAACGCATAACTAACCCCACAAGAAGAGCAGAAAACTCGACTTATTGACGAAACTTAGATTTTTAGGTATCTACTCGATTTTACTGCTTTCTGCATGTCGCTCTTCGCTTGAATGTTGCAGAGAAAACCTGACGGGGGAGACTCTCTGTAAGTGTCATGGCCTTTTCACACTATCGGCTACCAATCGAAACGACCGAATTCGCCTCAACTAGGCAGTCGAATCAGTTGAACAGCGCTTAGAAACTGCAGCCCCGTTCATGTATTTCATTCGTATTCTTTGTTGATAGCATGCACAGCTTTTTTATTTTTCTGAGATAGCAGAGATTCGTCTTGGCAGTCTCTCCAAACAACTGTGACACATGCACCGACAGAAAAAAACACCAGGAAGGCGATCGTCGTTTTTTTCTGCCAGCGACAGAAGCCCTTGTCCTGAGTATGAAGCCTCTAACTGCTTTACTTAATGCAGACATCAAGCGGGCCAGAAGTTCTCGCGATGCGTTAAAAGCTGTGGCTTGGAGGGCTGCAGCTAACGGGATAACGTGGGCCTGGTAGTCAGCCCATTGTGCGTTTGTGTGGATTGACAGTCTGGTGGACTGAGAACCAGACTGCAATAGATACTTCTTAATGTGGCCCTACGGCAGTCCAAATCCATAGGGTCCCAGCCGCTCCCATCTTCTCTTACTGCATCTACCATCCTCGTTAGAGTGCGCTTTGTGGACCAGGAGATATGGTGGTACGTCTAATTGCGGGTTTTCGCCGTGCCCGCTATCTGCGCCCTATCCTTACTCCATGTTCCTTGACTCTGTCGTGACACCGGATACAGACGGGGGAGGAGGGAGTGCAGTAGATGCTGCGCAAGTCTATACACTAAATCACCCACAAGTCACCGCCCTACGTTCACCCTGCGGTGGAGCACAGGACAAATGTCCTTTCAATCGACGGTCAGACCGTCATAAGGGCATCAGGACCGTCGGGTACTTACACTTTTTCAAAGCGTGCTAGGTCCCTACATCCCACACAGCTGTATTCGCCTCTCAACACATTTTAACCTGTCAAATGCCAGCTTACCTGTAGCATTTAAAGATGTCGTAGAGAGATCGGCTACGTTAGAAGGTTTAACAAATTTACACAAAGGGTATTTGGCTATGTGCAGGCTGTGGTGCCTGTTTACCACCCCACTCCCTCAACGCCCCTGCAGGACTGGAGTGAACGGGTCTCTGCTCAACAACCAGTGCTCAAATGAAGCGAGACGTTGACCATGATTGTTATCACAAGTTCTCACTGTGTGCGTGTTGTCAGTGCATCCTATAACAGTAGGCAGAAGTGCCAACCTGTGGCTGTATAGTCTTTTACAAAAGTAGTTTCTCTGGCCTCAAATCCCACAGCACTGAAAACCGATGCGGATCGACACGCACCGGCGCGTACCGATCGCGTGGCCACACCTGATGGACACAGTACTGTCGACCTATTTAATTATTTTGGGTTGGTGTGATGATGTTGGTATGGTGTTGCTGTGTGTTGCGGTGTGCGTTCTGCTGGCGGCCTTGTTAGTTTGTTGCCGCGTCTACCTTTTTCGGCTCTATACTGGTGGTTCTTCTTGACTTTCGGTCCGTCGTCTTCTTCTAACGTTCGCGCAGGATGTTTCAGGGTTAGGCCGTAGGGTTAGGGTCAGAGGTTAGAGTTAGGGCTTAGTGCAACTATTTCTCAACCCCTCAAAGTAAAACCGCGCATTCCATTAGCTTTTTGAATACAATTACTTGACCTCGTCGCCTGCGCGTTCTCCGGCCCCGCCTGTAAAAACTCCTTTTACTACCGGTGCCGCATTACAGGTGTCTAGGGTTTGTTTTCTTCAGGTGCGACTTAATAACCATATCTGACTGATTGCGTAACGTTACTCACTCGCACGTTGTGCAACACAGGGGGGCATAATACTGTCAGTGGATTCTACCTCAATGAGCACACATAATAGGCTGGATCGCCCCGTTAGGCTCAACAGATCTACCCACATTTAATTTTGCTTTTATAGAGCCACAACTGAGAGAGTTCCGGAGAAATTTCCGGGAGAAGTGGTTCCTCCTCCACTCTGTCTTGACAAAACAGGTAGCACGATGCCTGATTTGGCTATGCTGATAATGGCAGGCTCGAGCTGAGAGCCATTGTATTAGTTCTATTTCAACTTCACAGCCCTCCCGTGAACCAATTCTATCAACCAACGGAAAAAACAGCATGCGGCTTTCGGCAAAGGGGAAGTCTGAAAACCTAAATTACCTTGAGATCTCTGCCATGCAAAAGAACCGGCAGTCAACTGTTCCTCAAGCAGGGATACAGGTTTCCTCCTATTCATCTTGCATAAGTCTTGAGTTAGGAGACCTCATAGCCAATCTGCTTCCTTTGAGCATGGAAATCGAAGGTAGTTTATTCGAGCTGCGCAATCCTCTGTTATGATTTTAAATTCCAAGGCATCAAAGTCAAAGTTATTGCTCGTAGTGCAATCTGTGCGGGCCCTTTGTACCAGTCAATATACCCGATCACGATCAGCAGGAAAACGAGTCCGCGACTAAGTGATTGGAGCGTTAGATTCCTGACCGATTGCGCGCGGTTTCGAGCCTCGCTGATAGAAAAACGTTTCGGTTACGCCTGGTTGATGACGGTCAATAGGCCGGAAATTGCAGCTGCAACCTCACTCGCCTTTGTCCGTCTTGTGAATATACATCCTTTTATCATAACAACTGAATGCACTTTATTTGTCATGCTCAATACTCTGGTCTTATTTTATCTTTTTAAGCATTACAGTCGGCGTTTTTTTGTATTAAAATGAATCTCCAGCCTGACGAAATTTCTTGACCACATGCTGAATTACTATGCGTTAAGATCATGCACCAGCAGATCTTTGAATTGGAGCTGTTATTTTGACGCCAACCGCACTCGCCATCCCAAAGTCAAGTTTCAAGGTCAGAAATCCAAACGAGCCAATCGATATGCGCCGGGCTTTCTAGCGTTCTGGGGAGCGGCAGCTGTTTACTGAGCTCAAGAAGAAACAAAACCGCCAAATTCTGCCCAATTTAATTCACTTCAGATGTTGCCCCAGATCCGAACCTCAAGAATCTCTTCCTCCCCAGGAGTTGCCAAGCTACCTCTCCTAACTCACCGTAGTTCCACACTCGAGAACAGACCGAAAGTAGGCATCGCATCCAATCCTCTCCCAAAACCACCACCCCACCAACCCGCAAAACGACGGCCACGAAATCTCAAAAGTGCTGCAATTGAAATAAAGAAAAGACAGCTACTGGCTGAAAAGCGCCATTCTTCTACGCTCAACTTGGAGCTGAATGGTATCAGAGAAATCGAACCTGTGCAAAAGCCTGGACAGTTTTCACTGACCAGTTCACCTTTGACTCCCGTTTCAAAAAGAGCGGTTGGGATAGGGAAATCTGAGTCCATCAAGGGCATTTTGCCCATTCAGGAGGCTTCCGATGAAAAGCAGGAGAAAAGTGAATTACAAAAACAACAATCAACACCACCACCACCACCACCGATATCAACAGCAACCACACAAAACCAAAAGACGCCCGAACAAATGCTTGATGAGATACTGCGTCAGGAAAAGTTCTCCTTCCGACGAGAGAGAGTTCAGCGGCTAGCAAACAGGGCAGGTGACGGGATCCAGGAAGAGAATCACTCCTACCAATCGGCTTCAGGAGTTGACGAAGATCAAAACAATTGTTTGTCTGTCGAGAAGGCTGTGGAGTCGGGAAAGTGCACAAACTCGTCCGCAGTTGACCACAACACGCACAATCGCAGCTCGATAACGTCACTTACATGGAAGGGCTTCGAATCGGGTCCCTGGCCGGAGGGCACAAAGATACCAGTAGAAAGAATCTCCGATACCCCCTCTCAACGTGAAATTGAGGCAAAATTCTTTTATAAACCCGCAAAGAAGTGGGTTCGTCTGCCGACTAGTCTGTCTGAAGTAAGAGTACCGGGTAGGAGCATCTTGCCACTGAAGAAGCTACCACAGGACCCACTAGCAAAGTTTATCAATGAACAGACAACCTTTTCGATGGGTTTCTGGTCAAAAATCCGACAGGACAGTGCCTGTACGGCGGACGACGCAAGTCTCATACATCAGGCTGCTCTTTTCAGACTCTGTGAAGCCTTCACGGAGAACATGGGCAGAGACTATTTAAAAGCAATGGCACGAGAGTCCGTGCAACCCATCTCCAGCTCTGATGATGAGCAAACGTACTGGCACGAGGACTCTAAATTTGTGCACGATGACAATGAACGTATCTGGAATTGGGATAACTCGTTACCTACCAGTAAATGCCTACGTGATGAAAAAGTGCCCAAAGAGCCTGAGCGCTCTGAGGTGTGTAGTTTGATGCGTGACTCCCTGGACATGAAGTCAGATTTCTCCAGCCTTTTCATGATCGGTTCTGATGCTTCCACGGACGTGGAATACGATGAATACGACTTCGTGAAGGCCAACAAGGAGCATCCATTCACGGATCCCCGTCTCATTGCTGGTCTTAAGCATCAGTCTCTGGCCCGGGATCGGTGGCTGAAACGACAACGAAAAAGAAGTCGAGCTAGACGAGCAGCCACAGAGGAGCTGGTCTCTGACATACAGCCGGAGCAGTCAGCGGCAGTGGAGCCGGACCATCCGTCGGAGTCACTGTCAACACCGCCTCAGGCAGGCGAGCAGCTGCGCTCGGAGGGCACAGCGGTGACGACGAGTTCACCGGAGGCCACAACCAATCAGACGCAAGAATCGGCTGTCCCCACTACCAGTATCATCTCGGCTACAGGACCAATGAGTGAGAGGGAGGAGAGCGAGTCGGAGGCGGTGAGCGGCGGGCCAAACCTTGATGAGAAGGGTAAGAAGAGCAGGCGAAAGAGGACACGCACGAAACCGCCCTCCCAGAGCAAGCAGGAAACTAAGGCTGCTGCAAAGACAAAGGTCAAAAGTGGGGCGCTAAAGAAGCTCGTCATAGACAGTCCGAATGACGAGAAGGATGTGCTCATGTGGACCTACATGACCGGTTTTGAGGATGCATGCATCGGTTGGCAGAAGGTTGGTCAGATGACGTGAAGTTCAATAAGGCAACTTAATCACCTCTTACACCTGAATATGAAAAGAGCAAGTTGACAGTAAAAAACACATTTTGAGAGTGCGTGATCCAATCCGCCCCCCCCCCCTATCGTTTATGCTCTGAGTTAGCATGAATAGTCAGGGATTCTGACAGTTGTCCTAACTGTAATTCATTTACCTTTATTAATTTCAAACGTGCACTTCGGGAATCATTTGACCTTTAAATATAAATTTCAACTTTCTGGGCGAGCCGCAAAAACGTTCTTTTCGAAGGATTTAGTCCAAACACGCGCATTAATTTCCCTAGAGATTCAAAATCTTGACAGCTCGACCGTCACATCAGACGATGCCCATCGTTTGCTCCACAACAAGGTGAAGCAAGCACGATGACTCGCTCGTGAATTAGTTTACAGTGACTGTAGACTTGCGCTGCATCTATCACACTCTCTCCTCCTCCTCCTCCTCCCGAGCCTGGTGTCAAGAAAGAAGACCGGGTGGATGCCACGGCCGAGCTCGCGCCGTGGTGGTCCACTCCATAGCCACTGGTCCAAACAACAACTCACCAGAGATTTACATGTCCAGGGTCGCACCAATGTCGCATAAATGTCCTGGCAAAATTAATTCAGCTAGATGACCTATGTTTTCTGCATTGATTCCAAAGCCGGGGGGGCAAATACTTTCCACTTGACAACTTGATTTATTACAAGAGCGAAATTACACAAATGGAGTTGGAAATTGTCGCTGATCACATTTGCTGAACAGTAAGCAGCACTGAAAAAAATATTGGGATTCTTCTAGACTGAAAACCTGGAAAACTGTAAAATTGAATTCCTGACCTTCCGAAAGAGCGAAGGTTGCTCTGGCCTGGGCTACGGCTACGCGTTGCCCATCTGCGCGAATTATTCCTATTCTTTCTGAAGCCCTAAAAATTCACATTTATCATCAATCATTTGAAATTCTGAGCAGTTAAAGTGGGTTGTTTGTGGATCTAGTTGAACAGTCTCCCCTCTTTCCTAGCAATTGATAGCCTCAGCGGCCCCCAATCCAATGTCCTGGATCGAGAACCTCGAGTCTGCATCGATGGTGGCGGCGGGCTCTGCCGCATCGGGTGAGGCCGAAAAGGACGAAAATCTGGGCAAATATGGGCTTAGCAAACGCTTCGCGAGTGTAGCTGGTGGCCTGGAACAACTTCGACGTTACCTGGTCGCCTTCGCGGAGTCCGAAGAACCCAAGGCGGAGGTCCTGCTAGACTGCATGGTGAAGGACTATGTGCTCCAGATGCCTCTAGCCGTTCGCGACCCAGAACATCTGAAGGAAGTCTACCTTGCCACCGTGGTAAAACACCCAATGCTCTTCAAAATGGTTCTGCGCAAGAGAGACATTCTGCCAGAGGACTTGCAGGTCTTCGTTAAGGAAATTCTCGAACTCGCCGAGGCCTCAGACGCAATGCTAACCCTCCGCCACCCCTCGGAGAGCAAATCGCGTCTGATTACAGACGCGGCAAAGGAGATGTTCACTTCTGGTCTTCTCTACGGTGGACCGAAATGCCCTCCGGAAATGATGCGCCAGGTCTCTGCCCCCAAGCCGAATAAACTGCGTGGGATCTCCCAGCTCAGCGAGGTGGAGCGCGAACAGAAGCAACGCGCAAAATCCTTACGACTTCGTCAAATAGAAGAAGCTGAAGCCACTGATATGGGAGCTAACGAGGGCAGTAATGCCTTGAGCAACTACAACGCCGACATTGCCAATGAGCTGGCCTTTTATGTGAGTCTTCGAAACCCCAGTCAGAACATTCTTGAGGAGATTGCCTTTAAGTTTGCCGAGTTTGGCTCCTACATAAGGCCTCTGTTTGAGAAACGCTGGGAGCAGATTTCCACGGAGAGGGAACCTGAGAGTTTGCTGCCCGAGCTGAAAGCGCTGCGAGACCTGAGGTGCAAGCAAATGGAGCGGATGAATTACCGACTTCGTCTCAGTGACGAACTCCAGAAAGATGAGGGTGGAAAGGTGCAACGCCTCTGCAAGTCCCTCGTGCTACGACTCTGCCGCCTATTGAGGGGATCCGCTGGCACCCTGCCGGGCAGTGGAGCCTGGATGGGACTGCTGGCCTGCCTCCAGGGCATCATGTTCTGGCCTCTGATTGGCGACCTGCTCGTCTGTAAGCTGAATTATTGGCTTCCGCCGCTGTTTCTCACTCTGCACAACCGCTACGCCAGTGTACGAGAGGAGGGCTGCTGTGTCCTCGCCTACCTCGTCTGCTCCTATCCCTTCTTCTCCCGGCTGCATCAGTACTCCCGACAACTGCTCATTTGTAACCTCACGTTTGCCCTACTGGACGCAATGGATTGCAATCGGGACACCTATGTCTTCTACCATGGAGTGATGGGCTATCTCCTGCACTCCATACCCTGCACAGGTCCCATCGACTGTCTCCTCATGTGGGTACCCGAGATCGCGGACAGGAAGGACAGTTTGGCGGCTCGGGACTGGCCACTGTACATATACTACGTGGCCAAACACTGGCCCGATTTTGCCATGGACTGGAACCTCCTCTACCAGCGGCAGGTGCTGGCACTTCTGCAGACTGGACTCCAAAGAACGATTTCCAAGCGCAATGCTAAGACAGCCATTCTTTATTTGGTACGTCGAACCAAACGAATATGTCCTCTCCTGACGGCCTGGCGTCAGAAGGATGGCGACTGAACTGTCAAGGACAGGAGAAGGGAGGGAATGTGGAAGCAACGCTTGTTTTTTTTAACACACTTTGGAATAAATAAATTCGCAAAAAACCTGACCACCTGAAGCTTACTGTATGCTTGTCTAAGCAAATAAAAGCTATTGAAGGAGGCTGCTGTCTTTTTCCCCTCCGAAAGGTCGCGCTCTCCGCCACTGATCTCTAAACAGTAGAGGCCAGCGTTTTTATCAAGGTTAACAATCCTGCTTTGTAGAACTGAATTAATGGTCTTTTCACGAAGTCTTTGGTGCTTTCCCTAAAGAGTAAAGTTATTCCGATGTCACAAAATCATACAACTGTAAAGGACTGTAAATAGTTCCGTATTTTATGACGTGCGAGAAAGCTTTGACTAGAAGGATCCAGGACGGCCTTCACACCGTTGAAAGGAGACCTTGGTAAAACCATCTGACGTATTCAGACCTCCCACAGAAAGCAGGACGGTCGAGGGGGAAAACAAACCTTGATAACTTGAAGGTGTAATCCGGTATATGTGAATTCTCCTTACTAATACTTTGCTTAAATGAATTTAGAGACTTTTGACCTACGGGACATTAGGTATCTGACATATTAATACTTTTAACAGCATTTGTCTTCCATACATGCGGTTTGCCTTGTAATTCTACTAGAAAAATTACTCAGATTTGAAAACGGGCTTTTAGTGTGAGTTGTGTTGTAATTGGGGAGTTTCCAATGGTCGACAAAACAGGGCCCCCAAATCGGAAGTCAGGGAAGACGGGCTGGGTCGGACAACTTTACGGACATGTAATAGCGTACAAGAGGCTCTGCAAGCAGTTGCCGCAAGCTGTCTCTCCAGGCCAGTTTCTTGTCCTGTCTCCGCCATTGAGGTTATTAGCCTCCAGCGCATGTGTGCGCCCTTCACTCTGTCTCAGTGTCAGCCAGCCAATCAGAGAAAGGGCAGCGTTGATTGGCTCCAAATTCTCGCGAGGCAAGTGACAGGCCTCGTGCGATCCCAGCCGCGAATCAACAGGGAGCGTGAGGCGGACAGAAGGACAGATAAACAAAGCGACGAAGAGCACGGAAGCGTGGACTGCCACAACTAATATCCGCACTTTTGTTGAGTTAACAAATATGTCCACCAGAGTTTAGCTTGGAGTATATTGCAGCAAATTCAGGAGGCCGACATTTTGATAATACCTGACAACGTGGGCTCTATGATTGGCTTTTGGCTAGTCCCACAATCAGCTTTAACCAAACAAGGTGGGAGGGTGTTAAGCAATCAGGCTGCAGGACCTATGAGTCCCCTTGTGTAGTGGGATTCATTAATTTCTGGCTTATTAGCCGTCGTCGGCCAGTCATACCCAGTCCCGATGTGTGGAAGACCTGGGACTCGACCTCGTGACCCGTTAGTTAGAAGTCCAACGCCTCTAACCAGTGAGCCACGGCATCGTTGTTCTGTAGGTTTCGATCGGGAATATGCAATGATTAGAGGCTTTAGACTTCTCACTAACAAGTCACGAGTTCGAGTCCCAGATGTTCCACACTTCGGGGTTGAGTATGACTGGCTAACGACGACAAATAAGCCAGAAATGGCCATTCCAGCCTCCCTCGTCTTGCCGGTAATAACATTCTGCCTATACCATGCGCCGCTGTGCGGCTGCTGGTTGGGCTCGAGAGAGAGCCCGTAAGGCGCAACGGAACGAATGAGTTCCGTAAGAACGATCAGTGAGCGCACCCTACCATTGTTAACCGTCATTAGTCCGCCATGCACAACCCCGCACTTGTAGGTCCTGAGGTTGGGAGATATAAGTTTTGCTCATGGGATTCTAAATTTATGGGTCTATCAAAATTGAAACTTCCGATCGTAACTGACCAGATTGCGTGGTTCAGCGGTTGGACCCAGGACTCAACGCTTAGTGGCCAAGGATGTCGTGTGTCATACACAGTTCATGCAAAACCCGGCCTGGACATGGTTGACGGACGACGGCTTATGGTCAGAAATGGTCATCTCTCTGTTTTTACCGGTACTTCTTCTACCAACCATATCCCAGATAGTAGGAAAATCGGCAGTAATATCAGGAACCTGATTATAGCTACGGAAATTCCCATGGCAGTATTCAGAAGACTAGTTGGTGAACATACGTTTGCTTTTAATAAATTCTCGTCAGGCCAATACATTTATATGGGAACGGGGTTAAGTTAACCATGTCAGTGCTTAGAGAACTTAATTAAATGTTGTCTTTCAAAATGGGGAAAGTAATTATAATCAATGCCAAGGCCAGGGTGAGCTCGGAAAGAGCGGGTAGGTACA